TATGGGTAATTATTTAGGTCCCTATATTACTCAACCCAGTCCAGACATCCAACCAAACCCGAAACCCTGCCCCCTCCCACGACTGCTGCCACCGGCATCCATGGCCCACAACCTCCAAACTAACCCACCAGTATTATGAGCCATCCCATGGATGAACACCGAAACTCCGATCTAGACTCTCAACCCTTAGCCCCTGCACAGCAAGACCAACGAAACCCGAAGCCCTAAACCCTAAAACCCTAAACCCTAAAACCCTAAAACCCTAAACCATGAAACCCTAAACTTTAAGCCATGAACTCTCAGCCCTGGCCAAGACCGTCACCTTTTCCAAAGATCCTCATCCCCAAAGCAAGCCCTAAACCCTCAACCCAAACCTTGAAGCCCTAAACCCTAAACCCAAAGCCCTAAACCCTGCAAGCCATAAGCCTGCAACTCTAGGACTCTATGAATCCTAGAGCCTTTGACACCTGTTGGTCTTATAACCCCCTTTGACAGAACCCTACATCTAGCCTTTCAGGGGGGGTACCCTATTATAGGATATTCTACAACCCACCCTAAGCCCTAAACCCTAAACCCTAAGCCCTAAACCCTAAACCCTAGACCCTATTGTAGGACATTCTACAACCCTAAAGCCTTTGTCGGCTCCAGCCCTTCTAGGCCGAAAAACAGCTTGACCCCCTTGAATCCCTAAACCCTCCCTTTTTTAAGGGGTTAAGAGTTTCGAGGCTTAGGGGTTTTGGGTTTAGAGGCTTAAAGGTTTAGGCGTTTGTTTTAGGGTTTATGGGGGTTTCGAGATTTAGGGTCCCTAAACCCTAAACCCTAAACCCTAAACCCCTAATCCCTAAACCGCGTTTGTTTGACCCTGGGCGATCAAAGAGCCGGGAGTCGCCCTTCGTAAACTCCGTAGAAAAGGTTCAAAGCACGCTGCCAGAGTGCCGACTTCCTGGCGGTTTAGGGTTTGGGGTGTGGGGTTTAGGGTTCACGGCAAGTTTGCAGTGTAGCCCAAAATGCAGCACCTTTGTTGGTTACCTTTGTTTCTTGCTATAGGATCCTCATAAAGTGAGTTATCCAAGAAGGGTGCTACATTCTGGGGTCTAGGAAGAAGCCAAAGCATGGTTTATAGTATTCCTGATCCGTGCCGGGCGTCTCCAAAGCAGTCAAGGCAGCATTCTGCGAGATGATGTCAGCCTCCAAATTCCTCTGAGCACTCCTTGCATGCTCATGTGAAGACTTGGGTTTGCTCAGGTATGCTACACCCTACACCAAGGTGTCATGTTTCAAGTGGTTTCGAAGGCCTCCGGGTAAAACACGGAGTATGCTGGATGCGACGAAACAAGTTGCAGCCATCAGATACCGACCTGACCCTAAACATAATCCGAGACCCTACTGTTCATGTTGCACAGAACCCAGATTGAACAGTAGGATCCTTATCTAAAACCAAAACCCCCTAATCCCTGCAAGCCTATAAGCCCTATTATATATATATATATATATATATAATTAAGTCGGAAACCGAAAACGGTCCCCATAGCGTTACGAAACTCCCAGTGGAGGCATGGATCTCTTCTAAAAGATGCAGAGCAGACTGCCACTGGCTCCCGCGCTCGCACGCCGAGATGGCCGCATTGTATGCAATCATGTTCATCTGCACAGAGCTGTCCTTGAATACTTCAAGGGCCCAGGCAGTCTATATATATATATATTTATACCAGTGTTATTCTTTAGGGTCCCAGTTATCATCAAAGTATAATGTGGCATGGGAGTCAGTAGTTTGGGGTTTGGGGTTCAGGGTTTCATGATTCAGTGGAGGCTGAGGAATCCAGGCCATCAGGTCCAAAAGCTACAATCGCACCTCACAGTAAGATGCTATGTTGTTGAATCTCCAATCGAAAAGTCTATACTACGTACTTATCAGCATGTCGCTTTCTTGGAGATCGCATCTTGAGATAGAAGCCGACACACTGGATGCTAAGCCCTAAACCCTGAAACACCGCTCCTGCATGTCCTTGAAGGTGTAAAGCGCTTGCTTCCACTGCTCACTCTTGCCACAGGAGCTAACAACAGAAGTACAAGTGATCACATTTGGCTGCAAATCCACCTCCAAGAGCTCTGCCAGCAAGTACACAGAGCGCCGCCATTGTCCCCCCTTGTCGCATGCACTTATTGCCGAGCTGTATGTAACAACATTGCTTTCGAGCTCTTCTTGCAGGAGCTCTGATAACCTTAGTTGTCCAGTATTGATTTTAATATCTTCGGAAAGGTAATCCTACATCCTAAAGCCTACTTCACCCCAAAAAGTAAAAGGTTACCTACTAAAAAATATTACTAAGTAACAAAGCCAATGCCAGCTCCCAATGGCCTCCCTTCTCGCATGCACTGATGGCCGCACCAAAAAGCAGCACCTGGGTCTCTAGCATGAAGAACTCCCTTGATTTTGATTAATTAAAGGCGACTTAGTAACTGGGGTTATAAATAAGGTAACTATTATACTTATAAATACTTATAACCCCAAGTAAGGTACTTATAACCCTACTTACTAAGTCCGATGATCCTGCAAGTAGGGGTTCAGGGTTTAAGGTTTGTAGGGCTTGGGGATGATGTGATTCGCTACATTATCTATGGAAACGAACCCGAACAAAAACAGCACGTGCTGTTGAGGGGCCTAGCTGCATTCTTTTCCCCGCCCATGGCTCCCCACTCGCGCAGTAGCCAAAGAGCTTTGTGCCATTGACTCAGCCGACCATTTTTGGCAATGGCAGAAGAAATGCTTTTGATTGTTCCACATGCGCCTACTGCACCGGCAGTGCTTTGAACCATCGTGGCTACCAGCGGTTGCGAGGCTCTTGGGCAATCCCAGTTGCAAGCTTCGGAGCAAGAAGCGCAAGAACTGAGCCACATTGGACCTAACCCTAAACCCTAAACCCTAAACCGAAGCGCAAGAACTGAGCCACATGGGACCTGAAACGAACCAAACCCTTACACTGCAACACTGGGAAAGCTTGGTCTTCCTGTAGCCGATAAAACCGACTTCTTTAGGCTTCCTTATAATGGTTCCTATACCATAGTTCTGAAGAAAGGTAGGTCTTTTCGGCCCCAGGTCGGGTTTCGGGTTTAGGGTTTCTTTTCATAGTTCCGTAAACGGATAGGTCAAAACCAAAACCCTGCACTTGCAAACGGCAGTCCATATGTATACATGTGTGTATATATATATATATGTGTTCTACACCTGTGTATGTACACATGTGTGTGGTAACACATGTGTATATATATATATACATATATATATATATACACATATATATATATATAATTAACTCAAAAAGTAGAAGGCTTTGAAGTCCAGATGCGGAGTTCTCCTGTGCTCTCTGATGGATTATCCTGGTCACACAACCAGAACCTAAACCCTACAAGAGTCTAAACCCCGCAAGCACCCTAAAACGCAGGACCACTGCCCCTGATTGCTGTGGCTCCAACGTGATGCGAAGGCACAAGCCTCGATAAGGCTTGAAGATGGCGTTTAGGGTTTAGTTGTTCCCGGATGGCGTTTAGGGTTTAGTTGTTCCCGGCACAGAGCCCACCTTCACTCCCGTAGGCGGGATGGTTCGAGGTCCGTGGCCAGACATGTATTTGGAAATCCGAAATCATGAATATTGCTAGTATCAGGATCCTGTACTTAGAAGCAGAGTTTGGAGACACATCTTTCGTACAGAGTTTCCTAGGGGACTTCATGGTGAGAAACCATATAATGTAGATCCCTTTATAAGGAATACTTATAGCCCCTAGCTTCCGGCATGTTTGCTGAACTGTCGCATGTTGCTTTCGGAAAGCCCTCAAATCCAAACACGACGATATTAAGGCCCGTATATGATACATAGGCAAAGATTTTGCGTGCGTGCATATATTCATGCATGTATATTACAGGGGTGTGGATTGTTTGAACCAAGGTTTTAAGGTCTAAGTATTTCATAACCTTAAGGAAGAGTGTGGGTAACTGTTCCGGCCCGTAGTATGAAACCGAATCAAACCCTAAACCCTAAACCCTAAACCATAAAGCCTGAGAGCGCTTCTTCCGGATGTGGTGGGTGCCGTCCTAGCAGCTAAACCTTATTTCTGTAACGATCCAGCTCCCATGTGGTTGGTTGTCAAAATTGGGGGGTCCCTTTTTGGGTACCTTAAATAGTAGGTGCCGTATTATATTACGGACCCAAAAAGGGACCATAATTTTGACAACCACCCATATAGGTTTTAGTGTAGGGATGTACAGGGTTTATATGTTATGGGTAGGTTCACAAGTGCCTCAACTTTGCTTGCCTTT